AATAAACTTAAAAATAAATAAATTTGGGACCTACATAAGTTATAAAAGATGAACTAAAAAAGTAACTAATAACTGATAAATAAAAAAATATACGAAATCAAAAAAATACCAATAATAATTTTTTAACGTCATTATTATTCTTAGAGAAATCAAGTGGCTAGCGTTAAAAAAATTCTTGATTTACAGTTTAGGATTACCAATTTTAAATTCTTATTTTAGTTTTAAATCACTATAAACTTTGTTTATTTGATTAAATATGTATTTTTCATAATAATTTCAAAATAACTACACAAAATACAACCTTACAATCAAGTTGTAATAATCATTTAATTAGTTAAATTAAGATGGCATAGTATTTATTAAATTAACGGTGTTAATCATCAACATATAATATTTAATTTTAAAATCCCCCGTTGGTAGATAAAGAGTCAGATTTTCAAAAAAAAAATATAACTCAAGGGAAATAACTAAGATATTTATAGAATAAAATTTGTTTTAATTCATTCATTTTTCAAAAAGTTATAGAAAATTTAAGTAAATTTTAAAAATATAAAAATCCTTTTATTACTAGAAAAATCTTAATTTTTTGAGGGATTTATCCAATTTATTTGAAATGATATGATGTTTTTCAATTTTTGAGATCCTAGTCTTCAACTAGATACAATTTGTGGTCTTTTGATGTATAATTCAGTAAAATCTGTCCAATAAGAACTGAAAAAACTAACAACAGACACAAAAATAAAAATTAACACATAGTAAAATTAATACTTTCTCAGTTCGCAATGAAACTAAAAACTATTGGAAGAAAATAATAATATTAATTTGTTTAATGTTAATATAATCTATAGTACTTAATACTGGACTACAAACTCTAACAGGAGACTGTATTATTTACCTTATCTAGATTCTTAGTCAAATTTTAACAATTTAATTTTGAATTTGGATTATTATTAGAGTTGTGTAAGAAAATTTAACTATTAACATTCAATCATATTTTTACTTCTTAATATATCTTATATTGCCTTTACTGTAAGTAATAAATAGTATGTAATTAATCTACGAAAAAATTAAACTAAAAGTAATTGTGTTTTTTGAAAATGCTGATTTTCAATATGGTTTTAAAGTTTTATCTAATCTTCCTGTGACAAACAATATAGCAGAGAGAGAGACGTACGAATTCTGTCAGATTACAATGAAATATTAACTCATGATGAAAAACAAAAAAGTTTCTACTACAAATATACATTGAAGGATAATAATAAATAACCTTATCAAAAATAAAATTCTATGAGCATTAAGATCTTTTTCCAAATATTTTTTTTAGCATTTTATTATTTGTTTGTTTACTTATATAATACGATAAAATACTTATGATTTTTTTTGTTAATATCCTTTTTTATGTAAAATAATTACATATATCATTTCTTTTATATAAACTTTTATGTAAGAATCATACATTTTGAGATAAAACACAATATCTGAAGAACTATCTTTGTGATCGGATTTTCAACCCTCTTCAATACGTGTTAACGTTAACTTATGGGGACCAAATTCTGCACAGCTTATTTTTACATGTAGTAAAACAATTTTTTTGTTCGTGTAAATCAAATTTTGAAAATTTGTATTTTAAGGACCACTCTAATATATATATATACAGAGTGTTTAGCAAGTAAGTAAACAAATCAATTGTTACAAACAATGGGAATAATAGTAACTCGTTTCCTTACTTTCTGAACAGCCCATATATATTTATTATATACATATATACAGTATATAATATTGGCAAGGTTTTATCATACTAGGTTGACATTACCGGAATAATAATAATAATGATAATGATAACAATAGCAGGGGGAGGGTTATTTAAATATAATTTGGAAATCGGGGATTTACAAAAAAAAAAAGTCGCGTACAAAACCGAATCAAAATGAGGTTGTCGCACAGTGGGGCACAAGCTTCAAAAGTTGGCATTAAATCATAGAGCAAAAAAAATATATTCCTAAAATTAATATTATTTTTATTTTTGTCCATCAGACATATAAAAAGTCATTTACATAATATTAACACAAGGTATTTATTTATTTTAAAGACATTTTGACAGAAATAGCTATTCAATTTATTAATAAAAAAAAAATGAATTATTTTAAGTTTTAATTTTAAAATTAGTAATGGTTATCGTCATCATTTTCTCATTAATGTCATCGTAATCATTGTTATCATCATCATCATCATCATCATCACTATCTTTGACATATTGAAGAGAGACCCGGACATCTGGTGATTTTAGTAATGCAAGTGCTTCAATTGGCATTAATTGTGTTATTTTCTTGGGCAGTTTTCAGTAATGCTTGAAATTACTAGATCTGAACTTAATAAAAACAAATTTAATGTATATAAATTAGTTTTTTCACGACAACATTTCCTTGAGTTATGCTCCCGATATCTCTTAAAATCTTTATTTCGTGCTTCATGGGCTTCTTCAGTCAACTGTCCTATTGGAAATAAAGCAGATTCAATTATCTCTGGACCATGAATAAAAAACTTGTGCATTGTGGGTGACATATTGTACCATTATTGTACTTCTCAACAAAATATTTTGCAGTTTTATACGTGTATTCTCGAAACTCATTGACTTTTATTTCGTGTCCACTAGTTACTACTATCATTACTATATGTATTTTTTTTAATAATTATATTAATTTCTGAACTTTTTCTTTCTCAGCTATAGATGTCTCCATAGATTCTTTTATAAGCTCAATTTTTATAGGCCTACAATATCTATTTGATGCAAGACGTGGATTTTGCCATATAATTTGGTCACCATTTACCAAGCGAAGTGGAGCTAAACTTGTAATAAATACAGCCGAATCACTGGCTCCAGGACTACAAAAAGCCTGTTTATATGGACTATGTCCAGAGCTACCATCAAAGCACCATTTCGAATATAAAATAAACTTATCCAATTCATTTTCTGAGAGTAAGTCAATAACAGGCTTTTGCACTAAAAATAATCTTTCTACTGTGTGATCAAGTAATGCTTGTAAAGAAACTTCTGCGTGTGTAGAAGTTACTTGTATATCTTTTGGTTTTGGATAACATTGTTTTTTACTTTCTTGTACGACTTTGTATGATGGAAATTTATCAAGGGCACTCATCTGAATAATATTGAACTGATGTCGAAATAGCTTAGCATCTACTATAACAGCTAGTGCATCTTCATTTAAAGATAAAAATCTAATAGAAGCATTTAACCTGGTGGGAGGGTTAGCCTTGGATCTGCGCCTGGTTCTCTTATGGAAATACTGTACATTTCCTAAAAATATTTTAAATAATTAGTTATACTAGACCACCCACCCACCTTCTGAAAATAAATTAAGCAATTTATATTTTTTTTCCTGTAAAATTGCTATACATCGTGACAGTCAGAAGCTATTAATAGGAAATGAGGCAAATATGGGCAACATTTTTTTTATCGAGGTGATAGAATACTCTATCGAGTATTATATTTTTCAATTTTTAAAGCTTGGAAAGACTTGGAAGTGAACTTAAACTAAATATAATTTTTGTGAGACGTATATTTTATTATTATTACTAGTTATTTATGTATATATTATGTATAATTCGGTAAAACTTATGTATAAAACGTTACGTAACTGATCTGTTACTAATGGTTCCATGATAAATTTAATTAAATAAACAAATAATCTCTAAGGTATAGAAAAAAACTAAAATTTAAAATAATATTATACTGTTTAATTGTATTCTGTAATACACTGCGGACTTATATTATAACTGCTGTAACTAAATCAATTTAAGTCACAACCGGTGAACGAAACCGATTTCGAATGCAGTATGAACTCCTTTATTGGTGTATATAATAATTCGATAAGTGCTATTTTTGCCAACTTTTGATGTCATTTGTCCCACTGTGTGCCGGTGCGATTCGACATTTCTTTCTTTCGGCAAACAGCTATCTAACACACATGTTATTACATGCACACGTTTATCTGTTGTGTAAAACGTTGAACAAATTGTTACGTTTTACAAAAAAATAACTTTTTAACTTACTTGTTTTTAAACTCTAAACACGACGTGGTGTCGGTCGAATTGGTACAACGAGTCGATTATTTATTTAAGCTCTCATACGACTATACGGTCTCTTGTAAACCCTTACGACTATATAGTCTCTTGTAAACTCTTCCAACTCTTGTTCATATGGCTATAAATAGTCTTCTACCGTTCGTAAAAGCCGACGATAATATTTACCGCGGTAGAGCGCGATCGCTTTCGGTTTACGAATGCGAATCACTCGGTCGAGGGCACCTTCGTTTGCCGGGCGACGGGTTCCGTTCGACAATCGAAGTCGCGTCGCGTCCGTCTCTCAGGCGGCCAAAGACCAGCGATAATCCGTGCTGGATCAGGGGTAGGTCGCTTTGGCAGCACTCGATTAAAAAGCGATAGGGGGAAAATATATATATATATTTATTCATTCGTTCATTCATTTGTTATTATTTTATAAAATCAAATGATATGTTGGATATATTTGTATTCGAGTGTAATAATGTCGACTTCCTTTATAGAATAAGTATCGATCATTTCGATTAGCCTACTGGCGATATTATTTCAACGTGATATATCATTAAAAATAGTAACTGTACAAATAAAAAAATAATAATAATTGGTGCGTATCGCACACTACAATGATTATAGAAATATATTCGCGATGAATCCGAATGAAACACACAATGGCGAACGAGATAAAGGCAAGTTGACGTTAAATACCACGAAAAATAATGATCAAATAATACATTTATACATACATACATATACTCATTGCAACAATTGATTTACCGGTATTAACGTTGGACAGTCGATACGTGTATAGAGTCCATTGTAAACATATACGAGTAGGTAAATTATTATANTGGCGAACGAGATAAAGGCAAGTTGACGTTAAATACCACGAAAAATAATGATCAAATAATACATTTATACATACATACATATATAGACTCATTGCAACAATTGATTTACCGGTATTAACGTTGGACAGTCGATACGTGTATAGAGTCCATCGTAAACATATACGAGTAGGTAAATTATTATGGGAAATCGTAATCATAAGTGACATTCGACAGAGCGCTTGGAACATAACGTTACGTACGTCGTCACGTAATTAAAATCATAGTTGTAATTAGAACCCAATCAAACGACGACGATCAAAATATGCGTTTCGAAACGTCTCTATTGTTCCTTTGGTCGTCATTGGAAATGGTAACGTTTTCGTGGAATTCACGAGTGCTGGTAAGTCGTCGTGGGCAGCACCGCCGACGTGCTTTCACATCGTGTGGGGTGCTTTAAAAATTGTCGGATCGTTTTTTTTCTCTTTCCTTAGGACCGTTTGGCAGTGCATAGAGGCAGCAGAGTGGCGGTTCGGTTCGATAAATTCGAATGGGCCATAAACAACGAGTACGGACGCGTGAACCAAGTTTACGTCAGTCAATCGAACGGATCCGATCTCGGCAACGTGGCAATGACATTCGATTTCGAATTCGTCCTACAGCAAGTGCGTCCTCAGGCAATGTCTTATCATTTATATATAAATATAACGTTTTATTTTTCCATCGTAGTTGACTGTAGAAATATTCAAGTGTAAAGAGCATTACATAGATTGTGTGAATTACAGAAGTTTTGGATTCACGCGGTTTTGTGGACACGAAAATGCCATACTACTTTTCATCAAGTTGGGATACGTCGACCGCGAGTTGTCGTGCACAATCAAACAGGTAAGGCCGTGTTGGTTCCCTTTGGATTTTGTCATTTATTAGTCGGTCTGAATCACCCGCGTATGTTTTTCTCTCGTCCCAGGGACTCTACACGGTGAAGAATGTAACGTTGAACGTGGACAACGTGGTCGGACCGTTTGCGCTTTCGCTTGAAAAGTGGTGGGAGAAAACGTGGATATGGAACATTACGTTTTTCGCCGACGACGACGCGTTCATCATGCGGTCCAACGGACAACTCCGATTTCTGATGCTGAAGAGGAGTAGGAGTAACGGCGGTCCGGCCGCACCAGTAGTCGGCGGCGCTCATTGATTTTTTTTTTTAGCTTCGATGCGAAGCCGAATAGTTATTAATTTTACTATGGTATGTGTGTGTTTTTTTTGTTCATTATATTTTATTAGTGTGTTTTTATTTGCATAAAAAATAATTAAATACAATGTGATGATCGACACAATTTTGTTCGGATCGAATGAAAAATTAAAAATCAAACCGATTCGGTTAGATAAATGCATGCGGGTTTAGTGAAAAAAAAAAAAACTTTATTTTATTTATCTATTTTATTTGTTTTCGTACCCAATTTACAAGCGTAAACGTAGTGATGGGTTTGGAAACACAATAAAAAATTCTAATACTGTTTCGATTTCATACAGTGCTTGACTGTACAATGACACGATGCACAACAGTTATATAGTGTTACGCGTATAAAATATAGTTATTCTATAATAGTTTGTATACGACTCGAAGACGTCATGTTTCTGGGAGATTTAGGATATTCATTGGACAAGGAATTCTAAAACGTACGATCCTTTTTACAAAAAAAAAAAAATTGTGAAATTAATTTTAAGTGCATATAAATCTGAACTCGATCCGCGATTGACAATAAGTGTCGATTACCATCAGTAGACTGTTGTAGAATTATTGTAAAAATTATCCTAGTTACAAAATAGAGGTTCATGTGTCGGGCAAGTGGAACTGATCGAAAAGGGCATAGAGACACAGTGTGTCTACGTAGCTATTTTTTTGACTAAACGTACTCTTGTCTTCCTGTACCCCGTCCGAGTGTCGACGTCAAGGACTTGCGAAACACCGGTCCAAAATAACCTTCTTGGACGGGCAATTTTCTTTATCGAATCCCCCCCCACACGACCACAATCAGCGCGCGCGAAACATGAACGAAAAACGTTCAACTGACAGACCAGACGGACCACCCGACTACCATCAGTCAGGGCTCCGCGAGCCGCAGAGCCCGGTGTCTTTCGTGAGTGGTCCGAGTGCAGCGTCCCCGAGGGATCGCTGACGGGGTCATTTACGCAAGGGGTCCGCGTATAACCGACCTAGCCCCGTCCGGGTTTGTTCCCTCGGCGATAACGAGAAGCGGTTGGGTTTGTCAATGACCGATCCATATATTTTACTTAAAATTTTCCTCTCAAATACTTCTAGTCTCTGTTATTCAGCTTTTCTCAATGACCACGTCTCACAACCGTACAGGTTAATAAGTCGTAATAATGTCATACAAATAGATGGTCCTAGATTTTAGTACTTTTTCTAATCCATAGTTTCCCTTATTAGCTAGTTAATTCTCGACAAAATCTCTGTCTTAAGTTCATTATCTTGAGTATTAATAGATCCCAGATATTTAAATTGTGATAATTTCTAAATGTATGTCCTTCTAACTCAATATGTTGTTCCAGTCCATAATAACTGTTACTTCGGCTATAAGACAGAATATTTGACAATCAAGTATTCCGTCTTATCATTGTTAACAGTTAATCCCTCTTTCTCCGAGAAATTTATAAGTTTTTTTCCTAAACTTTTTATCGTCTCGATATCATCTCCTAAGAGTGCAATATCGTCCGCATATCCTAAGAGTCCTATTATTATCGGTCCCACCGCAATTCCTTCCAAAACGTTCATTCTCGTACTATTTTTTCCAGTACTGTGCGTGCCCTTGCCAAAGGTCTGCTATCATGCTCACAGGCTGTAGTGTTGTACTTTCTATCCTAACTTATATATCCATCTGGTTGATGCTGGCTCCAATAATGTTTACAATTTTACTTGGGAATCTAAATTCTTTGAGCACATTAATAGGCTTTCTCTATGGATACAATCATGAGATTTTTCAAAGTCCAAAAACAATATCTGTAAATCCTTATATATTCCCACCTTTTTTGGAGGATCTGTCTTATTACAAAAATCTGATCCGTTGTAAATCTATTAGGCCTAAATCCTCCCTGATAGTCTTCTAGTAAAGATTCTGCTACGGGTCTTACTCTGTCGAATATACAATATGCTAGGACTTTATATGTTGTATCTTGTAATTCTATACCCCTATAATTACTACATTCTTGTGAATCATTTTTTTTTTTTTTGTGAATAAGACATTAATGTAGTGCTCCTTCGGAAGTCTTTCTTCATGCCAAATACTCTCTATAATACTATGTATTTTAGCTTCGAAGCGAAGCTGAGAAGGTATTGGTTTTACTAAGATGTGTTTTTTTTTGTGTCTGTTACCACTTTTTCTCAGCTCTCACCGAACCGATTTCTTTCAATGATACGTCAAAAAATCACAAATCGTATCTAGTCGAAGACATTAACCTCAAAAACTGAAAAAATTCCCTCGTTCCCTGTAAATGGGGGAAACCTCCAAAAAAATTACAAATTTAAAAATCGCTAATTTTCGAAATTTTTCAATTTTTTTTACTAAAAACTGCCGTAACTTTTTCAAAAATGAACAAATCAATATAATTTTTTTTATAAATGTTTGATGTCTTTACCTATCATTTGGTATATTTTTTTTGTAAATCTGACCCTTTATCTGCCCACAGAGTGGGATTTAAAATGACAACTTTTTCACAAAAAATTAACTTTTTCAACTTAACTTTTGAAAATGTTCCGGAAGGTCTGACACTTTTATATATATCTTAAATTAAAGCTTATGTAATATACTTTAATTAAAAAAAAAAAGATTTGACCTATAGACTTGTCTTCGTGGTGAAAATGGCTACCAAATGCTATTTTTGTGTGAAAATTCTCGATTTTATAATTTACATTTTTTACTTTATATGCTATAACTTTTTAAAAAATGTATGGATCAACATAATTTTTTTATGAGAAGTAGTTTTTATATACATACTTTATTTTTAAATCGGACTATTTCTCTATATACGAGGGGGCTTCAAATATAAAAAATGCATATAGAATGTAGAACTTTTTCAACTTAACTTTTCAAAATGTTCCGGAAGGTCTGACACTTTTATATATATCGTAAATTAAAGCTTATGTTATATACTTTTATATAAAAAAAAAATTTGACCTCTGGACTTGTCTTCATGGTGAAAATGGCTACCGAATATAGCATTCGGTAGCCATTTCGATAGCCAATCGAGAATTATCACACGAATATAGCATTCGTGTGATAATTCTCGATTTTATTTTTTATATTTTTAACTTTATATGCTATAACTTATTGAAAAGTGTATGGATCAACATAATTTTTTTATGAGAAATAATATTTTTTAATTATCCCTTTTTCATTCGACATACTTTAATTTAATCAGGATATTAATAAGGAACTAGCAGATCATGTAGCTTTTGGAATAATCCACAAATTTTTTAAAATTAAACACTATCTAAAGATTTGCATCGAATCGTTTTTTTTTTATAGTGATTTTAATCACTGTCAGATATCATTATACTTGATCCATCTATGCCACGTCACCACTGTGCCGCGACCTCCCTGTGCTGGGTTTTTTTTATTTATTGTTCCCTTATCCAGGTTTTAAGTACTTCACCTTGGATTCCGTCTTTCTCAAGAATTATATGGTTATTTAGCCTGTTATGTTGTTGTACTATTTCCTCTTTGCTTGAGTACAGACAATTAGGTTCCGTCGGGATTCATGCAAATGTTTCAACTGGGTTTTCATAATTAGGTAATAATCCAAAATACTGTCTCCATTTTTCCAATTATTTTCCTTGTTCTGTTACTAGAGAACTATCGTTATTTTTAAGGAACTTGTTACGTTTTTTGTACCCTCCTCTAATTGAATTTATCTAGTGGTATAGTTGTCGAGTTCTATTCATTCTATGGTCAATCTCAACTCCTCTAATACATCTATTGTATATTTCCATATTTCACATCTAAATATAATACTTTGGTTTCTTTTTGGCATTTTTTGTATACCATAACTTTCTCTGTGGTCGTTGAGCAATTGAGTCCTGGCTTCTGTCCTTCTATGAAATGCTTTCTTGCAGGAGTTGTTAAACCACAGTTTCCTTTTTCTCTTTTTTTGGCTATTACTGTGTCTGAGACCGTTTTTATAGCATCCTTAACCTCTTTTCATTTAGTATCGATTCTCTCTTCTTGATTTATGTTTAAACTATTCATTGTTTCATGTAATTGTTGCTTGAAAAATCCACATATATTGGTATCCTTTAACTTATTCACGTCATTACTGTTCACTAATGCTCCTTTTCTAGATATCATTTCCTTGAGTTTTACCTTCAGATTTCCTTTAACTTGGTAGTGGTCTGAATCACATTTAGCTCTTCTGACTGTTTTGACATCGTGTACACAATTTTTGAACCTATTATTAATTAGAACATGGTCTATTTGATTGATATATCGACCATTCGGTGCCTTTCATGTATCCTTATAGATATCTTTATGAGAGAACATTGTACACTTCACAATACTCTCCTTCACCACTTACAAAATCTTTAAGTCTGAGTCTTTTCTCACTAGTTATATTATGAAGGCTATGGTTACCAATCGTTGACCTAAATATGTTCTACTTCCTTAACTTGGCATTAATGTCTTCTAGAAATATCCTAATTCTACTTCTTGAGATATTATTTAGCGTATGTTCCAATTTATCATAGAATTCGTCCTTCTCCTCTTGTATTTTCTCTTCCTAGGGTGCATGCCCACTCACGAATGTGATATCGGAATATTGCGCTTCTATTATTAGCACTGATATCCTTGGGTTAATGCTTTTGAATTGTCTTACTGAAAGTACTTAGTTTTTTTTGTACTACGAGGTCCATTCCAAATTGACGATTTTTATTACATTCACCATAAAATATCGTTGTCTTGAATATCTATCGTTAAATATTAAGTTTATTGTAAGAAAAATGTATACATAAAGGTAGATTTTAGGGGTACTTTCGAAAGAAATGGGAATCTATTTTTATTTTCTTACTAGAAAATGTTGAACGGTCTAAATAAATTTTTGCCTGGCCCATAACTAGTTTTATATTATTACTTTTTAAATTATTAGCACTTAAAGATTTAGAAAAGATAGGAGCGGTGTAATATTTAGCAACGCCAATTTTAATGTGTTATTACTTTTTGAGTTGTTATAATTTTTGGTTATTGGTAGGTGGGTTGCTCAATGTAGAATAACTCCAGTTTGTACGTTATGGTAAAAATAAAGTGTACGAATAATATAATAGATAATTTAATATGTGGATAACTAATTGACATTTCTATAACAGTCGTTTAAAGTTTAGAAACTAATTTACAAACATTATTATCACTATAGCTTAATTAAGCTGTTATATACATCACATGACATTTTATATCTTCAAAATTTTAAGTTAAATGAAAATACCTTTCTATAGAAAGTTTAATTAGTTTAAACAAGTAAGGCTAGTTCATATTTTGTAAAGATACCAACTGTATAACCTGTCAGGATAATTTTAAGTTAAACCATAATTGACTAATGCTTAGATGTCTAATTTTCTTTGCACATTTAAAAATTAAAAAAAAAAACCAAAACAATTTAACATTGTACATCATAAATATAAAGCGTACATGATGATTATTATACATTAAATTATAGGCAAAATATAAACTTTAAATTAAGCCCGATCTCATTAAAATTTGGATTTCTGGCCTGACAATGTCTTAATTTAAGTTCGATAAAAAAAAAAAAGCCGAGATTTATTAATATAAATGATCTAAATAGTGTTTAAATAAAAACGTTTGATGATTTATTTTTAAATTTTTGATTTATAAAACTTAAATTAATTTTGTATATCACTTAATGTTATAATCAAACATAATTTTGTATATATTAAACATTTTATAGCTAGATGATTGACATTTATGTCTGCTGCGTTCATCATAAAAAAAAAGAACTATATTGCCTTTATTTTGACATGAATTATATACCTAAGTAACTGCTGTGCTATTAAAATAACATATGCATTTTTCATACATTACAAAAATACCAATTTTTTTAAGATCTGATCTCCAGATCTCTAGCCTTTGATTAATTTCTTCCCTATTTTCTCTCATTAATACTATATCGTCAGCCAACAACACGCACCACAGTACCTCTCCTTGTATTTAAAAAAATAATTAAACACATTTATTTTTTTTTAATTTTATATTGAATTTATAATAGAAAATATTTTTATATTTATTCAATATCTTTGGGATTAATTTTATTTCGAAGATAATATTGTTTCATCATATTATTTTCATAAGAGTTTAGTTTTTTTCGATAAAAAAAACTTCTTTCAATGTCTTCCATTAATGGCGTTTCAATATTGTTTATCAACTCATTTATAATCCATGGAAGCTGATACTTAAAAGAATCGAATATTTTACTAATATCAATTATTAAATATTTATCTACATAATGTTGGGGTCGAAGATAAAAAAATCTGGCTATAATTTCGCATTCAGTAGTATGAGTAGGAGTAATAACATTTTTTCGGATACGAATTAATTCTTCTTCTCTTGATAATCCAGGTTTAATGTACGATTCCACCCATTCATCAATCTCTGAAAAAAGTAATTTTAATCAGATTTATGTAAATGGTTCTAATTTCTACTTTTTTATTTTTAATTTGAAAAACTCATTTAACTATATGCAAAATAACATTAAAAATAAGAACAAAAATATTTTAGCTTAATTAAATTGTAAAAATATACAAAAATATACAATTATACTGTTTTATTAACTTAATATCATTAGCTATTATAGAAAAATGATAAAAAATTAATTAAGTTAATCTATCAATTAATAAATGAATTAATTAATTAATTAGTTTAAAATGCTCATTCAAAATTATCAGCTTTTAATACATTTTGTTGTTTTATGCATCAAAAGAACCCGATTTAATTTAATTTATCACACTAGTGTTAAAATTTTGAAAACATCGCCTCAATTTTAAACATTTTAACAAATACCTAAAGATTACACTACTATAAAAAATTGTATTTTTAACATTTTTTTTTCTGCATTTTAAAAATATAATAACTTTTTTTGAAACCACTGATTAATTACTATCACATATCATATATACTTGTCCCAAATACACTGTGACCCTAATATTCTTGGTTTTATTTTCATACATACCTTCTAATGATGGGTAACGATATAGAGCTATAGTAAAAAAAAATTAATACATATCTGTTACTATCAAATATTTCTCTTTAAGCACTCCTTAAATATTAAAATATATTTTAGACGTTGTATATTTATTTACAAATATATTTGGTATATACCAGGACTTGGTATTACCAAGTGTAAAAGCTTATATTTGCTGTATTTTTAGTAAAAACCCATATTTTTATGATGGAAAACAAAAAAGTTTATCCAAAGTATTTTACTCACTTACATTTCCACCGTCTCTCGGACAATTTATGAAGATAACATGGCAAAAATATTTCTATTCTTTTGAGACTAACTAATCATCAAACCATTTTTAAATATCGGATTTTATAGATTTAAAGTACTATAAAATGAGCCATTGATATTTTTGACATTCGTTCCTTTTTTCACGCTAATTTCAGTGAATTAACAATTTATTAATAGTTGAGTATTGAAAAGTTTAACAGATAAAAGATTTGTTGGAAATAACTGCCACATTTCAAATGGAAACCTAAATAAGGAATAATGTAGGAATTATTTCTGTCGCAAACTGTAGTAGATGACATCCTGATGATTCAACTAAAACTTTTGCATTTTCTGTCTGAAACAATTTGGTCTTCGGAGAAACCTTGATGTTTAGCTTAGATTGACAACGATTATTTAAGTTTAGAATTTTCTTGTATTTTATTTTATTTTCTTAATCTTATTCAATGAATCTATTTTTTATCACCTGTTACAATGCGATAAAGGAATGACTTATTTTTATATCCAACGAGCAAGATTTCGCATGTGATATGGCGTTATTCTAATTTTTTATCATTCAATTTATGTGGTGTTAATTTTTTGATTTTTAAACGTTTCCAATTGTACATAAACGTATATAAATGACTGGTTGAATAACATTCAAATGTGTCAGCAAGAATTTTTTGGTAGCTGCCAACATTCCTAGATCGATTTTTATGGCTTTAATCATTCAGGTAAAAATTGCCATCTTTGAACCAACGAAACCAAACTATACACATAGTTTTCATTAAAGTGTGGTTGCCATTAACCTCCTTAATATTAATTTGGAATTTGACAGCTGATTTTATTAAATTAAATTAGAAAAGCAAATTTTTTCACATATGATCTTTTTCCTTTTAATAAAAATACATTTTTATTAAAAGGAAAAATGTATAATACTCTATGAAATTGTTTACAATGAGCACTCAATAATATTGGCAAATATCCATCTAATAAAATAAAATATACTGCTTGTTCATGCTATCTTAATATGCTCACTGTTTTAATTATGTTTAAACAGCAAATTTAAGCTTATATACCTTATTTACTTTGTAAGTGACAGAAATATGATATGTTTTTCAGTGGTGTATATATTTATTATAATATGTACAAAATAAGTTACATAAATGTTGAATACTTACAAGCTTTTAGAAAAATAATTCATAAAAAAAAAAAAAAAAATTATTTTAAATATAACACATATTTTTCTATTATTAAACAAATAAACTTAAATAAAATTATTAATTTTTGAATTATTTGAAATTATTATTCGATCGATTTATAGGTAAACATAAATATCATAGATATTTACCTATTTTTCATAGAAATGATTTCAAATATAATTGCGATCATATAATTTGTTAACTTTGAGAATTATTTTCGAATAATTTTCAAAACTGACATTAAAAAAAAAAATGAAGTGATTTATGAAATGTTTTGATGCAAATATTTATAACAATACATAAATAACAAAATTAATCTTGAACGTAGTTAGACACATTACCAAAAGTTATTTCTGCTCTACATAAAGGACAAATTGAATTTTCTTTTATCCATGGGGTAAGACATTCCTGACAGAACATGTGTTTACATGAAAGTAACCAAATAACTGTATCTAGATCATCCTGACAAATTGAACAAGCTAAAAAATAAAAATAGTACTTATGTTATTAAAATATTATATCTATTATAATTTTTTCTCTTGATATTAGTATACCGAATATAGAAAAGATCTCTTTTCTTTAATAGTTTTATAATAATTCTATTCGTAATTTCATAAAAGATATTACGGTAAAATTTGATCTGAATAACTCACTTTTTTAATTAGTGTCGAAATTTGCTCATGTGAGTAGTTTATTAAGATTTTTCCAAAATCTTATAATTTTAGTTAAACAATATTAAATTAGGTAATAAATGGTGGTCTATTTCGGATGAAACTATGGTAAAGAGGTTTACTTTAGAATTCATGTTAATTTCGTGGAATGGTTATTGACCAAATTTTGAAAAAAATTCAATAATAATAAGAAGTAAAATAGTGAAATCTTAATTTGATAATTATACCATGTATTTTATAATATTTATTTTGTTCTAATTATAATTTTTGTAATTTGTAAAATTAAATCCATACATACTCGTTTGGTTATCCAATTCTAAAATAATATTTATATTTTAATACTATACATTGCTATAAAACTTTTTTATGAGTTACTTGAATACTTTACCATTTGTAATAGTTGAATAGAGTATCAAAAATATGACGAAAGAAATAAAAAACTCTAAATAACTCTAAATAAATAAAAGTGAACAGTTTTTTAATCGTAAAATAAAATTGTTAAGATAACACGTACCATTTTTATTTTTTTTCCAAAATTAATCAATTCTAAATCATTTCTAATATTGAATTTCAACTCAAATTTACTAAACTTATGATAGTATACTAAAATAAATGTTTGAACCTCTTTGTTTTTATTAGTACTATGTGAAAAATATTTTCAAAGTTCTGCAGTAGGAGTATGATATTTTGAGTAACCTATAATATTTAAAATGTTTAAATATTTTTCATATAAAAATATTAATTTGTTCAATTAAATTAAATGTAACACGTGAATACATAAATTAAAATTGCAGCTTAGATATTGTTTGATCGTTCAAATTATTATAAGATTAGTAATATTCACAAATGGTATTCACTCGTCTCCCTTACCCAATCTAAGTATACAGATGTTTGTTGTTTGAACAAACGAGTGAAATTTTTCTATAAATAAAATATAGTAAAATATCATAAATTAGGATTGGTAACTTAGTGTGTGATAGAAGCCAATTGAACAATTGTCATACGCCAAATGTGAATACATCATTGTTTTAAACGTCATATAATACACACGGTTGTTTTTTTGTCAAACTCACAAAAAAACTGTACTAAAAGAAATATTGTAAAAATACAATTATTGTCATTTTGAATTTTAGAGCTTAATTTAAAATTTTTCAAAAAACTTCAAAACAAAAAAAAGAAAAAAATTTCGGACTTTATTTTGTCTTTACGGTGAAAATGACTACCAAATGCTGTTTTTGTGTGAAAATTCTCGATTTTATATTTTATATTTTATATTTGTCTGTTATAATTTTTCCTCAGCTCTCACCGTATCGATTTCTTATCTAGTCGAAAACTTTACTCTCCGAAATTAAAAAAAATTCCCTCGTTCCCGTAAATGGGAAAAATCTCCAAGAAATTTGACATATTTTTTTTATAAGTCTGACCCTTACCTGCCCACAGGGAGGGATTCAAAATGACAATTTAAAAAAAAAATTAAATTTTTCAATTTAACTTTTGAAAGTATTCCGGAAATACTGACACTTTTATATATATATATCTTTAATTAAAGCTTACGTAATGTTCTTTAATAAAAGGGAAAAAAATTTAGAACTTTTTTTTGTCTTAATGGTGAAAATGGTTACTGTATTCAAATATACATTTTTTTTGTGTTAAAATTCTCGATTTTGTATTTAATTTTATTTAAAAATACCTTATAAAAGTTTTTGAGTTAGTTTGAGAAGCCCTATCACTGTAGTTTCCTTTTGTTTGAAGAAATTCCTTATTTATAGTAAAATTATTTTACTACGCGATTTTTTTTTTTCTTGTGGCTCTCGTTTATTTTCTCAGTTCTCATTTCACCAATTTTTGTTAACAATACATCAAATTATCACATAAATATCTAGTTAAAAATATTACCCTCAAAAATTGAAAAAATATTATTGTCAATTAAAAAGTTACTAAGCCCACATTTTCCATATAGACAATTATAATCATTTATTTCTAATGATTTTAAAGTATTTATTGTCGAATTAAGTTTGATATGATAACTATTTTCAACTTTATAATTATATAGTTTTTCTTTGTAATTTATTAATTTTTCAACTCTATTTGTGTGTGTTACTATCAGTCTATAATATTCCGAATTTTTTTGTAACATGTTGCTATACAAATCATAAATCTAAAAAAAAAAATAATTTTTAATATCACCTGAATTTAACGATGGATTTTTACAATTATAATCAAATTTTATAATACACTCAATGAGTATATATTTTTAACAGCATTTTGATTGGATTTTTTAGTTAAAGTAAATCATTAAAATTAATTAAGTTCTGAATATTTCATTTGTAGAATATTTTTAAACACCAAAAGTTACTTAGAAATGATTACTGTTTGTTTTTAATTATTTTTTTATCGTAATAAATAATTTCGAAATAAATATTAATAATTTCTATGTAACTCTTGATGTTTAAATAGATGTTACAATTGAAATATTCAGGACTATTTTTCTTACAGTATCCTATAGTTTTTAGCTAATTAGTAATAATATGAAATATTATTTGTAATAAAAAAAGTACAATTGCTGATTTGAAATTAGAACGAATAATTGAATAATAAAAGTATATTTTTGACTCTGATGAAAATTTTTTGAAGCCGTTTATTCATAATTAACAACAAATTATTATCTAAAAAGTTTTGTATCAATTTCATCAATTTTTATATACGTTTGCCATAAAAGTAATAACTACTTTTTTTTATAAATTCTTAGAAAAAATTACATTAGTAAATTATTTTAAATATCAATATCATACTAATTTAATTTCTATAATAGATATTTTATTTTATTCATATATTGTATTTCTAAATCAAAAAACTATTAATCAATTAATTTTGCTTTTGGTATAATCCACCAACTTCTTAAAATTAAACACTATTTACAGATATCATCTATACTCGTCCCAATTTTGCCACGTCCACACTATGCTACCATTTTTTCATTTTTTGCTTATCCCGGAAATTTTGTTTACAAAAATAATAACCAGTACGGATTAACCGTATTTTTATAAGCCTTTATAACTTCCTCCTAACAGTTTTTTACTCATTTAGTTTACTTTCTAATAAATATGATACTATATTTTTATTTTTATAATCTTCCAAGGAAGGATTGCAAAATTTTTAATAATTTATACAGATGAAGGTAAAAAGTAATTTAATTAAACTTCCTTATATTTTTTTAGATTGCTTATCATAATAATAGTTTAAATGAATCAAGGTCACGTGATGATATTTTTTTTAAGTATATCTTTAATTTTGATATACTTATACGAATATATTTATATTTTATTTTCACGGTTTGTATAAATTATTGTTAGTTGTATGGACTATGTACACATAACATGACTTTTATTACATCACTATTTACGATTTAAATAAATTAATAAAGAAACTAAAGATATAAATTAATTTTTTTACGTCATTGCCATTGAAGAAAATAGTATTGAATTTGTTCCTCATTTATAAATGTATATTCACGAATTTATTTAACAACAATACAATAATTATCTCTCAAAACCTTTATTTTTTAACTTTAAATCATTTCGGAAGGTTCAATATACTTGTTTTTTATTGTTATATTAATACTGGATATTTCTTTTCTATATTTTAATAAATGCATTGAATACTGGTTGTAGATGTTTAGTGCGAGCTTTTAATCTCAGAACTACTAAAAAGTAAAATTATAAAATGTTAAACGTGGAAATAATTTTTAAAGGAAATATAATATTTTAAACCGGTTTAATAATTGACCATTCATGAAATGTCTTCTCATTTTTTTAACGATATATATTCATGATATGTATTAATTTTAACTGTGACATGGGCAGTATGCCAAAATTTCACTGAAAGCATACAATAAAATTCTTAAACATTTACATAAAAAATCACTATAAAAATGTGATTCTATTTTTTAATTAAATATTTGTATTTAATTATTCTTTTCTACGTGTATTTCTCAATGAAAATTTAAATTATTTGACAATTAATTCATAATAAACAATTGATTAATTATGGTAATTAAATTTTTACATCATTTTTCTCGAAGTATCATTACTATGAATTGAATCATTTGTACGGATTAAAATGATGGATTATTTTTAAATATTCATGATTATATAATAGTGAAATAATTTTATAAGATACTGGAAAACCGGTCTACACTTAAGCTGTAAGGTTGACAAACTTTTCTAATCATATTAAGATGTTAAATTTTATTATAATCGTGTAGGTCTTCTTCTTCCTCGCCTTAATCCCAACTACTTGGGGTCGGCCATCATCGCGTACATCCGAAATGGAATAATTCGCCTAAGTTTTGTTCAGGACACCTCATACTACTTGACAACAATTTTAACGCCGGCTGTCGACCTGACGCAACCTCATTAGTCGCCTCTTACGACTGGCAGAGGGGCCGTAGAAGTATTCTTATACTCTATCCACAGGGAAATTATAATCGTGTAGGTGTTCTATGATAAATATAATATATATAAATATACATCGCCATTTATATAAATTTCATAATTGTCAACAAATAATTAATAAAGTATAATCGAATTTTAACATGATTTAGCTTTTAAGAAATTTGAAACGTGCATATGATTTTCACCTAATGTAACTAAATAAAAATATATCAACCAATAAATTAAAGATTTTTTTTAAGTTTAGCTGTGTTAGGTTTATTATTTGACAAACGCGTCAAACGAGTTCTCCCATTCAAGTGATATGGTGTACATGGAAAATATTCATATATAAATTAAAATAAAAATTACATTTTTCAGTTTTTCTTGATTCGTTTACAAAAAATTTAAACTTGAGTTTTATAATTATATTAAATCTTATATAAAATCCTTAAAATGTTTCGTTATAGTTTATTTATTTTTTACTATTCAATCAATTTTATTCACTTAGCCAGTGGAGTATGTTGGGACACTGGCTGTCAACCGGACTCGTGGGATCTGGTCGGATGTGCAGAGTACAATATGGTAGAAATTAGTCGAAGAAAATGTCCTTATGGTAAAATATACTCGTGTTGCGAAAAAACCGACTATAATCTTAGTTATAATCGATTGCAGAGCAGAGTATTGTACGGTGATTTAACTTATTATGATCTGGGACTAACGGCATGTGGCAAAGTATACAAAAACAGCGACTTGGTAGCTGCCGTAGCCTTTGGACATTTCAGGTCGCTCAACCCTAACTTGGATTCAATATGCGGACGAAGAGCTAGAATCTACAACAATAAAGGAAGAAGTGTTGTTGTGAAAATTGTAGATAAATGTGGAGGTTGCAAATGGGGTGATATTGATGTGTCAAGGGCTGCTTTTCGTAAACTGGAGCCACTCTCTGTCGGAAGAACTCGAGTCAAGTGGCATTATATTTGACCATAAGATACAATTTAACACAGAATTTTGTCCTAGAACATTATATCGAAGAAAAGGTATCTTTATTGTTATTGTTTGTTCTGAAAATCAAGGATTTGAGACTTATAAGTTAATGTTTAACATATAATGTTAGATATTGTTACTAGTACTATTCTATTTATATTATGAATATTTCGTATAATGTATAAAAATATCTGATATTATATTTGTTTTAAGAGATAATGCGTTTCAATGATTAGTTCGTACTTTTCGCTTCACTTTACTATTATCTATTGATAATTGACTTTATTTTATATTTATAATATTTATTTAACTGTTATTTAAAAAAAAATTAAAAATTTTTTTTTTTAAATCAAATTTTGATATTATCATCTCTATTACTCAACTATTATAACGAATGGAATAATAAGAAGAGGGCGATGTAATATTATGAACGTGATAAATAGAGAAGTAATATATATCTTTGTTATTACTTAATAGGGTATTTAGTATGTTAAAACTACTCCACCTCATATTCATTAAAATAATGATGATAGAATCTTGAGTGGTGATTTACAGCTGTTCGTAACGTTTGTTTTAATTAAAGGAAGTGTGTTAATATCAAGAGAACCATTTTTGTATATAGAAGCGTATTTATTTCTAATAAAAATATTAGTTATTTTAACAAATGTCAGCTTTTAGACTAAGTAAGAAAAGTTAAGATAAAAGTCTGAAAACATACAAAACATACACTAAAATAGAGTGTAAGAGAAAAACTAAGATGATAACATGAAAAATTAAAATAATTAAGTGAGATGAAAATTGTCTTTTTTTGTCTTTTAAATTTTTTTTCAATAATTTATTGATTTAATATTTTAGTGTAATTATATCAACATTTATTTCACTTACTGATTTTTTGAAATAATGTAACAATAGAACAATAAAGTACAGGGACATTTTTATTTGAAAACATAAATCTTAAAATTAAAATAATACCTTTTCAACTTTATATCGAAGCTAAAATTATTCAGAATATATAATTAAAAAATCATGTATACGTGTTTAGCAATGATATTTTCCAAAGTACGTTTATGTATTTAAAAATAAAAAAATTGCGGTTTACTTAGTTAAATATCTGTATTATTTTTTTAGCTTCAATTAAATATTTTAAAAATGTTTTTGTATTTTGATTATTTAAGTAATTTATATAAATGAACCACGTTGAATGCTAATTGTTCAAAATTATTAATAACGTTAGATTATATTACATTGCAACTGAATGATTAGCCAAGACACTCATAAACAAATTATAAAGACTTAAGATAAGCAATAAACAATTTTATATTTATATAATAGTTTATTTCATATTTTTAAAAATATTAAATGATTCAATGAAAAATGTTTTATTTAAAAAAATTAGAATACAAATATAATAAAGAAAAAAATAACTAGCATTGCAAATTGGAATATTGTAGAGATACATAATTATATAAGTTTCAAAAGATTGAGTTGTCTATTGGTGGCGACTACGAGGTGCATAAACAAAATCTTGTGACTTAACGAATTCTTTTCTTATATCAAATTCTTCATCGGGATCGAGATTATGTCGAAGATAATATTCTCTTAAAATTGTTTTTTCTTTTTCAGTTAAGTTTATTATTAATTGACGTCGTCTTATTTCATCTTCTTCCTTATACGTTTTGGCATTTATTAACCAATAATAAAAATTTGAGACTTTATTACTACTATTACTCAACACAGATTCAATATCAATTAACAACTGATTGTCAGCGTAGTGACTTGGTATAAGATAAAAGTAACGTGCTACTATTTCTTTATATATGAGGCGAAAACGTGAATGCTTGCGTACCATTTCTTTTACATATATAAACTCATCTTTTCTTGTTAAACCAGGTTTAATTGTCGGGCTTAACAATACATCATCTTTAAATTATAATTTTAAAAAGTATGTTATTAATTTAAATAAATTTTTATAGTTTTAGTGTTGATATTGAAATTATTAATTAAATTTAACTTGACTACTAGTAAAATCATACTGAAAGCTACTGATTAACTGATAGGTAACATAATACAATTTTTTTTCTGGAAACTTTTTAGATCATAATAGTATTAATTTAATTCTATATATTTACGTATTATTTCAAATTATTTAAAAATAAAGAATGATTAAGATAATTAATTTTTCTTAAAGTCTTATTAGAGGAAATTTATAACTTTCTATGTGTTATGAAGTATAAATTGTTCTTTAGACTCCAGAAAAATTAACTTCCATATTTCTCTCTTAAAAGTATTTTTTTTTACTGCTAAAAGGATACTTCAACGCTACTTTATCAATAATTACGTCAAAATTTTATGAATGAAACTATTCATTAATTCCAATTTATTTTTAGAACAAATCCGCCAGAATGAATCTACTTTCTACAAATAAGACAATACTTACTAATATCTGACTCGCTAACTATAACAAGATAATTAATGCTTGAAAATAATGCATAAAAATAATAAAGCATGTGTTACATTATACTTACTCGGTGATGTGCATTGATAAATAGCTACAATTTAACAAAATATAAAAAAGATTATTACAAAATATAAGAATGTCTTCAGAGCCCTCCCAAAAAGTTGTACACTCACTAATTAAAACTGAAATTTTTATTAAATTATTCAATAATTTTTTAAACATATTAAATTGATATTATATATTTCTTGATTTATCAATTATAAAATGGTTTTTGAATCATATTCTATAAGGGTTCACCTTTATTTTGTTAAATAGTAACATACATATTTAAATAGCTTACAAAGTGAAAAATTATCTAATTAAGAAAATGACTACTTGACGAATACTTTTAAAAATGTATTTTGAAAGTTATTAACATTTTAAAATATACATTAGATGTGAAGTATTACTTTTTTTTAACAATATACATTTCTCGACTGCACTCTTCCTCTGCCTAGGCTAATGTTTAAATGTTTTGAGTTAGTTTTCTCAATTAGATATTTTATTGGTCTGTTAAATATGTATGTTTCCGTCTATGAAAATCAAGTTGACACACTTATACAGAATAAGTTATGGATTAAAAAAATACTTAATAACTTATACAGAGTGATTTTTTTATTATAACCCATTCAATTACTTACAGAATAAATATAATTCAAACATTTTTTTTTTTTTTAATATCTTTAGTTACACATTATTCTTAAATTATCAACCATGTAATACTTTTTAAGTTCACCCTTTATACCTGGTAAGGGTGTCAACTTTTGCCAACTGTGACAGCAATGTCATAAAAAACCAATTAGCAACCTATATTTGTAACCCCTTGTGTATTATACATGTATATTAACTCAAAAATTTTTAACTTTACATGTTTATATATAATAAACAAATGAAGTTATACTAAAAATTCAAATTCCATTTACTATTAATTTAAACACTCTAACATTTTATTAAATTTAAAATATGTGTTCCCATTAAAAAAAACAAAGTTGACACCCTTACCAGATATAAAGGGTGAACTTAAAAAATATTACATAGCTAATAATTCAAAAATAATGTGTAGCTCATGAAAAAAAAAATGTTTAAATTATATTTATTATGAAACTAAAAGATATCAAAAATTTTTTAACATAATTATTATTTTAAGAGAAACCGAGTGTCTAGCGTTAAAGAAATCACTTGTATTTTAAAGTACAAAAACCATCAAATACGAATTTATGATTTGATAAAAGTATGAATTATAACAAAACATATTTAAACAATTTTAATTCTAATCATTATATCTAAAAGTTTATGTGACACAAAAATAGAGTTTTCAGAATTTTTACATTTTGTATTCTGACGCATGCCGAAAAATTATCATCTATATTATCAAGAAAGTTAGTTTATTAGATTTTTTTTTGTCTCACAGAAAAATTACTATATTTAACATATCAGGTTTTGGGAGAATAACTACAGTATTAATAAGGTTGAAACTGATAAACTTTAATTTAATTATCATTATTTTAAAACTACGTTATTCAGCTAATCGTTTCATTTCAAGAAATTATTTTTAATATTATATTCATTATTTTATCTTATATCATTAAATTTTTTTTAAATTAATTTACTTACTGGCTATTTCAAATGATAATTTAAAAAAAAAAAAAATCAGTTAGTAATTTGAAATATTATAACGGATAACAATGTGATTTATCTGTAGTTTTTATTTATTTAGGTAATAATGTGTTTTATAAGTTTTATTATACAAACAATAAAAATAAATAGATCATTATAATATTTTGAATAATCTTCACAAGTGAAGAAAATAAATAGTCGTTATGATAACATTAATTGTTTTTAAAGTTTATTTCATAGTTATTGTATTAAAAATAATTATAAAACACACTAAAGTCCATATCCATTTGAATATTTTATACAAAATTTAGTTAAATAAGTTATACTACTAAGTTGAATCAATTACCTAAAAATTTTATAAAAAAATTAAATGGTTTTATATTATTTATCAAAGTAATGTTATTCGAAAACTTGAAATTTTTAACGTTTTTGAATAAAATATAAACAGAAGATTATTTATATATAAAACTTCTTGAACTCTTAAATATTATAAAATCTCTTTATATCTATAATAATGAAATATTTGTTTAAGAAATCATTATATGGAAAATTTTTATATACCATTTTTTACCACCTACTATAAAGTATATGTATATCAAATCAACAAATATTTTACATGAAGATTAAAAATTTACTTTTATAACATATCTTTCGACATAAAGGGCAGCTTAAATTTTTTACTCTCCATCTTTTAAGACAATTATAACAATATACGTGATTGCACCCTGTTATTAAAACAAGGCCCTTAAATTCATTTAAACAAATAGGGCATTCTAGAACAAATAAAAAATAACAACAACATATTATTGTAAGTCATTTATACAATTCTACGAATTTCGTAGGTTAAATTTTTGTAAAACATAAATAAATTGAAATGATTGTAAAAGTTCGTTTTATTTTAGGATTAAACAATTTTTTGCTAACAGTTTCTTTTCTTTCGCATGAAATTAATATTCCTTTATTTTTTAATATAAATTTCAAGTTGAATGATATTACGAAATTAATGAGACGATTAAATTTAATAATATTATTTTTACAATTGAAATAATTTTGAACCACTTAAATGTCTCAAAAACCAATTAATTAATCATTCAAACTATGATTGTCGGTTTCATGCCTATACTTTTTTAGCCTTTTACTAAAAATAATTTCGTTCTCTTCAATCATATCCACTTTTCAATGTGTAAAATAGAATTTAAAATAAACTACTAAAAATAAAGCATTAAAATTTCGTAATAATGATAATAAAAAAATTATATTTTTATATTTAGTATTACGTAGTTCAATTTAATATCTCTTAATTTAATTATTTCCTCGATAGGTCGAGCTCTTATTTTGTCAAACTTTTATTGAAGTTTGTGAGCTCAGTAAGTTCATTAACCAATAACTATAATTTATTCATGAGAATGATAATTGATTTGTATAATCGTTTAAATATTTTTAATAATTTAATAAATCATTCTATAGTATGCAGTACATGAGAAATTTTACTAACATACGTATTATTAAGAAAATTTATTTAATATTATTTTTTTATGTCTCATTAAGGGCTATGTCGTCTTCCACCCAAAGGAAGGTTCTTAGCCGTTTATACTACTGGTTGGGTCGTTAGTCCGTCGCTAGAGAAAGAATGCGAATCAAATTATGAACTGATCTTTCGCAATCGTCAAAAGATCACAAATCGTATATAATCAAAGACATTACCCTCAAAAATTGAAAAAATTTTCCTCATTCCCCGTAAATCTCCAAATCTCCAAAATAATTTACTTATTTAAAAATCGCTAGTTATCAAAATTTTTTCAATTTTTTTACTTAAAACTGCCATAACTTTTCTAAAAATGAACAAATCAATATAAATTTTTGTTTTATAAATGCATGATGTCCTACAAATCATTTGATATATCTTTTTTTATAAATTTGACCCTTTACTTGGTCACAGAGGGGTGTTCAAAATAACAACTTTTTCAATTTAACATTTGAAAGTGTTCCGGAAATACTGAATTTTTTATATATACCTCTTAAATTAAATTGTGTAATATACTTTATTTTGGGAAAAAAAATTTCGGACTTTATTTTGACTTCACGAGAAAATGGCTATAGTATACTATTTTTGTGTTAAAATTTTCGATTTTATATTTAAAATTTTTAACTTTATTAAGTTATAACTTATCGATAAATATATAAATGAATAATTTTTTTTTATGAGAAATAATATTTATATACCTCCTCATATATTACACTTATAAATCATAAAATTTGTAATCAGGATATAAATAAGGAAATAGGATATCAAGTAGCTTTTGGAAAAATTCACCTATTTTTTAAAATTAAAGCAATCTACAGATTTGCATCGAAGCCTTTTTTATGATAGTGATTTTAATTACTGTCAGATATCATTATATTTGACCCAACTATGCCACGTCGCCACTGTGCCGCGGCCTCACTATGCTATGTTTTTTTTTATTATGTATACATAGAGTTCTAACCTTTTTGTACATCTATACCTGTAATATAAACAATTGTAAGATAAATATAATTAATTAATTCTAAATTAAATACACCCAGAGAAAAACCTCGATCTATATAATAAATTCATTGTTCAATTTGATAAATATATCATTACTATTGAATCAATGATATATTTATCAATATGATATTTTTTTTTCTTGTCTTGAACAATAATTATTTATAAGAATAGTTATTTTGTTCGTATTAATAAAACATTATCATAAGCCCTTGATAAAATTTCTCTTTCAATTTTGATTGAGGTTTTTCTTTGGGTGTATAATTCATTAGAATTATTGTTTTTTAAATTATAAATTAATTTACCACAGGATTCATACAAGATGAATATTAAAAAAATGACTGAAGTGATGACTAAATTCTGAAAAAAATTTGTTAGTCAATTTAACTTTTATATAAAAATTATATCATTTAATGATAACACATACCATTTTAATAATCAGATTGTAATTCTATTGTTTAAACTAACATTTTATTAGACTACATACTATACACATAATATATTCATCAATGTAATAAAACAAAAAATTTAGACCTTTTTAAGTAATACAAATTTTAAATTTATTTTATAGAATATAATTATTACAAAAAATAGGATTGTTAAATTACTTCGAAATATATGTATTTTAAGTCAGGGAAAAAATAGAATAAAATTATATAAATGTCATATAACTGAGTATACAAATTAAATAACGTTAATATTAAACAAATTGTCACTTATAAAATATGTAATTGTAATATGTAATTGAACACATGGAATAATATTTCATATATATTTCAATACTTAAGCGCCCGAGAGTACGTTGGGCTTAATTCTATCAAAACAACTATATTATGCAATTTACAGGAAACCCGATTTTTTGAACGGACATATCTCAGTTTTTACTTAAATAGGTTCTTGAAATTTTAAGGTAATAGATTAGATTAAACTCTTGTAGTTTAGAACGTATAACGTGACAAAAATGTATTTCTTCATTTTATAAATTTATATTTTAATCTATATTGTTAAAGTTGCTGTGATTAATATTTTTTTGTTTTTAATATGTTTGTGCACGTTATTTGTATCAGCTGTGTCATAAAAGCTATTTTGACGAATATGTTTGCTAATATCAAATTGTGTACACTTCACAAATTATTTATTTTTTGCGTGTAACCGCATTTTAATATATAATTTTTTTTTTTTTTTTAAGTTAACAGCATCAGTGAAATCTGTCTAATGATTCTGTAGCCTTCCGGTTTGATAACAAAAATAAGGTTTTTGAACTGTCATGATGATCAAATAATTATTTCCCGTGCCGCAGAGGGGTTGAATTTCCATAAATGGGGATGAAAATTAGTTTTTAACGCATAACTTGGTAATACTTTTATCACAATAGTTTATAAAATAAAATTTATTTCATAAAAATTAATTTTATAAAAATAAACACGTTATTGAATTTTCTTAATCTCAATTGCATATTTTTTCATGAAATAATTAACTACACATATGAATACGCTGTTTTTTCCAATTTTTGCTTTTTAAGCCGGGTTTCCATTACTAAATAGAACATTATTCTATATAAACAGAATATTTGTCTACTCGTACAATTATACAAATATTACTGTTCCGATTACTCGTCTATTTGTTAAACTATTTTGCATTTTTCATGTTGAGTTAAGTGTTGACAATCAGTGGTAATATGTATTTTTTTTACATTTATCCCGTAACCCGGGTAAGTTGTAACACAGTAATTTAATGGTTTTACATACTTTATTTTTCGGGTTTTTGCAGTTCTGAACTAAGGATTAAATTATCAAAATATTTTAATATAAACTTCAAATTAAAAATTTAAATGTCTATTATAATTGTCCTATTTTAGAGTATAGTGCTATCATCTGGAATACACATACAGCCAACGACGCTTGTTTGGTTGAAAGAGTACAATGTAGATTTTTGCAGTTTGCTGGTTTTGTATTAGATATTCGTCATCCCCAACATGAATACAACCTATTGCCGAATACCTTAATCTTCCCTCACTTGCTGATCGCCGAAAGGCCCTAGGTACTAAATTCTTAAAAAAATTTCTTGATGGTAAAGTTGACTCTCCATCTCTTTTAACGCTAATTAATTTTAAAGTTCCCCAGAGAAAATCCAGAAATCACGGTCCCTTCTTCATACATATCTGTTCTTCTAATTATATTTATAATGAGCCAATTAAGCGTTTAATGAAAAATGCCGATGAAGACCCCTCTTTCAATTTCAATTAAACATTTATTTTATATACTTTTGTTTAAATGTTTGTTTTTTCTTAATGTTTATTATTTTTATATTACTGCTTTTCTTTTTGTTTGTTTGTGTTTCATTTTCTGTAACTATATTTTTGTATAATAAGGGTCAACAACGTTGAATAAATAAATAAATAAATAAACAAATAATATAATAAACATATTTACGAATACTGTACGTTACATCTTACCCCGTGTTACTCTTATAAATCAAAATATTCAATTATTTCATTAAATGTATGTTCTTTAGATACATTATACCAATAGTTTTAGTTTTAGTTATTATCGAGGTGGACATAATGTCCATGCACTTNAGTTTTAGTTATTATTGAGGTGGACATAATGCCCATGCACTCAGACCTGTTGGTCCATTGTGCGCACCTTATACCGAATTGTCTTGATTCGGTTTACCCACCTAAGTGTTATCACCAAAGTGTTAATACCTTTTCAACCATAAAGTCACCTCTATAGATGACCAAAGAGTGCTGTATTTCTAGCGAAATTAAGTATCTCTCTGGGCTTTAGGTTTTTAATATTTTCTTTTTCAGGAAAAGGTTTACTCAAGTAGTTTGATTTTAGTGTGGTCAAGGCTTCACATTCGCACTTCATGTGAAATAAGTCTTCCTCTTCTACTCCATACTTCCTGTACAATGGTGATTCCGATACTCCCATTGCGTTAAGATGTTTAAGCAACTGACCATGTCCTGTCAGTAGACCAGCCAGGGTGCTTATTTGATGTCTAGTCATGCTATTAAGATCACCCAGCAATAAACCAGGGGTCTTGATAAACATTTTAGATTGTCTAGGTACTACCAAGTACTTCCAGATTTTCCTGTGTTGTTCTCTGCACCAATTCTTGGGTAACGCTTTGAGCGATTGCTCAGTGAGCCCTACCACTGGTTCTGGTCCAACATAGGTGTTCTCTGCTCCTTTCCTGGCTAGAAAGTCAGCATTCTCATTTCCAGTGACACCGTTGTGTCCCGGTACCCACGCTAGTGTAACTTTGTTGAACCTCGATAGTGATTCTAAAGTTTCCCTGCATTTAAGGACCAGCTTTGAATTAATNCCTGCATTCGAGGACCAGCTTTGAATTCACCTGATCGTTACAGAGTGCTTTCAAAGCCGCTTGACTATCACTTAAGATAGTTATCTTCCTATTTTTGTATACCAGCAGGTTCTGAGCCCCTACCAGTATCGTCATCACCTCTGCTTGANGCAGGTTCTGAGCCCCTACCAGTATCGCCATCACCTCTGCTTGGAAAACAGAGGGTGTTGTGCCCAATGACATACTGACATTTATTCGTGGCTTTAAGCCCCAAATTCCAGCACCTACCTTTCCTGATTTTTTGGATCCATCTGTATATATCACAAATCCTCCTTTGTCAGTCAGGTGGTTAATATTCCATTCTATACGTGTAGTGATCTCCACTTTGTAGGGAATGTTATTCTTAAGAACCGGTTTGATATAGTCCAAGGGGTATTCTAAAAAGCCCTTGTCTATCTCTTTTAGTATTTTACCATGTTCTGTTGTATCACTCTCCAAAGTCCACATACCTAAGTTGTGGAATCTTAGTGATGTAGCTTTGGCGTGAGCTATCACCTCTAGATGCAGAGGAGGCAATCCAATTAGTGCCTCTAATGCGACCGTTGGTGTAATTCTTAATGCTCTAGTGATGGCAATAGCAGCCATTCTTTGTATGCGACTAAGTTCTTTTATAGCTGTAATGAGCGCTGTTCTGGTCCACCAGACTAGAGCACCGTATAATATCATAGGTTTAATCACTGACGTGTACAACCAATACATAACTCTTGGTTTCAGACCCCATGTCTTTCCCAAGGCTCTGCTGCAAGTCCACAATGTGGTCATTGCTTTTTTAATTCTTGACTCAACATGTGATTTCCATTTTAGTTTACTATCCAAGATAATACCTAAGTATTTTACTTCCGACTTTAAGCTAATTTCTTGTCCATTCAGAGTAAGAGTGTCCAGACTGTCTAGTCTTAATTTACTGTCTAGGTCANTAGTGTTAAGTCTCTGTTGTGCTAAGTCAATAATAGTGTCTGGGAATTTACCCACCACTGCTATAACCAAGTCATCCGCATAGGCTTGTGTATAACAATATTTGTTTAACTCTCTAATAAGCGAGTCCA